ATCGACAGCTTTCAATTCAATCACAAATCTGACATCGTCCTGTGTTACTTCAAGGAAAGTGTCATCTGATTGTTATGCATAGAAACAAAATCTAATACTTTCAAAATCGAAGACAGTTTCTATGAAGGATTAAAAGGCGTATTATTCAATAGTATTTCATGGTCGACCATTTTGGATCTTGCCTGTATTAACACATAACTAAGATAGATGAGTCCAGATGTATTTTGACATCACTGAACCAAGCAGTAAGACTCCTAAGGCTTGTAAGTTGTAGGAAAAGGGACTGTAATTAATGTTCAAGAAAATGCATGTTATCTTTTTAAAAATAAATACTTAACCTTGACACTGTAATCCTTAAGGTGTAGGCCATGACTTTACGGCTTCACACTACAGCTACTTGATTTTAAGATCATGCATTTTAAGCCTGGGGGATTACATAGAGTATGACCAAGGAACAGCTGTTTTGGGGAGAAAAAAAACTGACCCTATAATATTCAGAAAAAAAGAACCCCATGCTTTATAATGTAACATCTAATCATTCTCTCTCCCCCTCTATCTCTCTCTCTCTCTCTCTCTCTTTCTCTCATTCGATTCATTTTTTGATAATACGCATTGGCTAAATTGTTGTACATGTATATTCACATTACAGGTATGTATAAAGATACTAAAATTACAATTTAACCGACAAATGATAAGTAAAATATTCTTACTTGTCTGAAGAGAGATTCATATGCTGTGATATTGGACCCAGCAACCTGTATGAAAAGCAAAGAAGTAAGAAACAGTCATTCTTTTTACAAAAAATCTGCCAATATTGTTGAAATATATGTACATTTATAAGTTTAATAACAGGTCCACATCATTGAAAAACTAAAACATACATGAGGCTTTGTAAACACCAAAAAATGCCACCTTCATTTCTTTGATTGAAAAAACACACATACGAAACACAAGAAAAGAAAAAAATTAACTATTACTTCACTGCCCCATGACAACAACAAAATTACTATGCACAATATGCAATTTGATTTTGTAACTTTCATAAAAAAACAAAAAAAGTTGAAAACAAAAGCATTTTTTTTAAAATCTCTTCAATCAGTCTCCCCTCTCTCTCTCTCTCTCTCTCTCTCTCTCTCTCTCTGTCTCTGTTTCTCTCAGTCTATCTTTATTCCTCTTTTTCTTTCATTTTCACACAGGTTCACAAAGTCTATCGTTTTAAAAGATGTGTTGTTGTTCGTTACAGAAAATGAAAGTAGTACTCTAATTAGTAGTCTAGTACATGTAGTACGTAAGTTCAAACCATGCTTACATGTACATGTTTGTATACAAATAGTGTTTCTCAATATATCATTTTGGTGTTACACATGTACATTAAACAGAGGGGAAGTACACAGGTAGCTTGCTCTACAAATTTTACCTACACCTACATTATATGACCCATCACCACACACTAGTATACAGTAGCTTTGTCTGTTGTGAGTCAGGAAGTGTAACGTTTGTGTGAAGTTTCAGGCATGAGTCACAGGAATATGGAGTATCCATTAGAAGTCTCTCCTCGGTCCTATTAATAAACCAGATCCTCTCATCATCATCCCCCCGTATCCATAACCCCCTAATCAGGGATTCTAACTCACAAGGCCTGTCTTCATCAGCTTGAGTTTGCCAAATAACCCGCTATTTTCAGACTCGGGATATCCCAAAGCTCTAAATTGCGACTTCACCAGACCGATACGCTCATTACAAACTAGCTCGGACAGGCACAAATTAATCCGCTTTTTCCCAAATAGCGGGATATTTTGGAAACAAGACCAAGATTTCTTGGGATATTCTCTCGACCAAATATCCCGCTAATTACAATTGCGGGCTGATGAAGACGCAAATTAATTGGCTAATTTGCGATCGAGATAGTTAAAATAGTGGTTTACTTGGAAAACTGGAGCTGATGAAGACAGGCCTATTTTCTCATGTAAATATTGCATGGGTGTGCTACTAGATTACAGCAAGATCTTGTCTCATACTACTTCTGCTGTAAAGCCTGGTGAAGTATTAAAGCAAAGAGTAAGATGCAATGAAGTCTAAACATAAAGCATGTACAGTACAGGGCATACATGTACATGTACAGCAAAGGACTTCCGGTATATACTGTATGTATTCCATACAGGATTAATTAGCACAAATTCCTTCTTCATATGAAAGTACATTTAGGTAGAGGGGTTTTTTTCTGAATATTTCTTTGCATCTGTACTACATGCACATACTTTTAAATTTTAATCGTCTGCATTCTGCAAATCACAATATCAAAGTTCTTTTGGAAGAAAAAAGGTTAGATGATTAAAAAAGTTGTAAATAAGTTGACATAATATTCTATTTCTACAGAAATTGTTTGTTCTTTGAAAAGAGGAATGTTTGAGAACATTAAGTTAGATCTTGGGTTGCATTCTGAAAACTATAGATGTTATCTGTCAAATCAATTTTTGAAGAGCAGAAATCAATCAATCCATTTAGATTTTAGACACATTGTTAGAGTGACATTATTGTGACATTATTTGTTTGTTTGTTTTGAATGAAGAAAAGTGAAACTTAACCCTGTCAAAGGCAATCATTAAAAAAATGCCAAACACTAAAATGTTAATGAAAACGAAATGTCCAATGGTGGAAAATAAATAAATATAAAGTAGTAGTACTAGTAGCAGTATTAATATTATTACAGACTTTTACAGTCAAACCTGCTTCAGTGACTACCTGTATAGAAAGATTTTTTTGATTTCACTGAATATATGGTTTCTCAATGGAAGCTGGACTAAAGGAACCTGTACATAAAGACCACCTGCCTATAAAGACCACTTTTCATGTTTCCCTTGAGCGGTCTTTATATACAGGTTCGTCTTTATTAGGTTTTAATTAAGGAATCTACATGCTATATTAAAAAGTTATATCTAAAAAGTGATTTTTAATAATATTTTTTAATTCAATCTTTATTCCTGGCAAAGTTGATTCTCTAGGAATTCTAAATACTAAATGATTCATTTTCTAAACCAATAGAAAATATGAATCATGAATTCATAGATCATTTATCATTCATTGATAAGAGAGGGAAAGAAAGGAGGAAGAGAGATAGAGAGACAGACAGAGAGAGAATGTGATCAGTACATTCATGTACAATGTACCAATGTAAAGTTAGGCCACCTCTAGACCTACACCATGGAAAAAGGATCACTACATAAAGTAATCTATATAATGATATACAATGCAAAACCTTGAATTGGCAGTAATCATTCAAACTCATATCACAACCAACCAACCAGTACCCTCATTCTTATGTTAAACAATAAACAAACATGTACAGGTAATATTAGATTACGTAAGTACAAGTTGAGTTTTTATTAAACTCAAAATATTTTTATTTACAGTGTACATGTACAAATAAAGAATTCTAAAGAAACATCATGATCTTGATCACTTCTACTTCTACATGGTATGACGATACTCAGCAGGATCCATATCTTCTCCGCTCTCAACTTTCAACTTGGGGTGGTATTCTGATTGCTGAAAATGATTTTATCTTTCATTTCAAACATTTGTAAAATAGTGCTTAACGCCACAAGTAACAAACAAACAAACTGAAAATGTGTGGAATAAGCCCTTGGTTTTGATATTGGTGCTTGCACAGATGTCTCTGTTTATGCAAATGTAGCCAGCTTAGGAGACATAAACTAATAACTTGTCCTAATAATTATGACAAATAACATTGTTTTACTTTTACTAGTTTAAGATTTACTATTAACATTAGTGATTACAAATAATGTTTTCTGTTCAGTTCCACTAAAAAAAGGGTTGGTGAACATAAATAGAATTCCAGGAGCAAGTTATGGTTTCACCTGCAGCTGCAGTATTCAATCAAATAATAATAATAATAATACAATATTTATAAAGGCAGACGAGGCCCGCACATAGCAGCATAACTGCAAAAGTATACTTATTGTGTATTAAAAACTGTTTGGACGACCTCTATCGATTCTTGACATTTCAAACACCACTGTACAAAACTCAACTTAAGTTCACTCAAAATCGGTACTTTAGTGACAATTGATGACACCTAAAAAGCAGTAAAATACAATCTTTTCAACTTAGAAAAATTCTTTGAAAATTCAAAACGTGAGTCTACTGTCAAACTTGCCTATCGCTGAATCTCCATGTAAAACCGTATACACAAATTCGGTCGTAATGCGTAACAAGACATGATGGAGGGAAATCAGCGGCATTTTCTTCAGTTTTTCTACAGATTTTTAACTGTGAATCAGCTGGAAATTACAAAAGTGAACTATCACGGTCATTTATGATTTACGGTAATAGTATGGTTTTGGAGCATCGCATTCAAAAGTAAATGTTTCAACAATAGGTCTAAAAAAAACTAATTGTTATTTTCTTTCATTTGTTTTGTACACCAGTGTACAAAATTGATGCCTCTTAGTTACTGTCTTTTACTTAGTCTTACTAATAATTACTCTTACTTACGCATTAGCATTTACTACTAGCTTTGCTGGAGTGGGAAGGGGCCATGATCAATGATTGATCTTGCCTCTGACTGGCCTCATCAAGCCTCAAGCTGCGCCCAGCCTGGCAGGCAAGGGAATAGGGCTGACCTAAGCTGCACTCACGGGGTGTGCCCGTGGAGCGCGAGTGGGCAGGGCAGGTTTGCCGGTGAGGTGTCCGCCCGCTACACGCCCATGGAGGCTGCACGGGTAATCCAGTCAAGCGCCTCGGGTTCAAATAAACGACATACAGCACCAACATTCAAGTCACGATAACATCACTATGACTGCATATTTATGATATATAAATTCATATTCATAACACTCAAGGATCAAAAATCAATTTTATATAACATATTCATTATTTACTAAAAGATAAATTTGTGAAAATCAACTTTTAAATCAGATACCTTACCTGACTAATCGATGGAAACGTAGCCATCTTGACTTGATCACAATTTTCCACAAAGCGCCAGCTACGACGGGAATCTGTATAGCTGAGGTCAAGAAGGCAATTTCGGCTTCTAAATCATCAATTTTACCATGGATTGGCTCCAATTTGGCGCTGTAATCATTGCTGCATTAGGCACTATTTATCTAACGGGTAAAAGTGGTATTTTTATGCGGTAAGTTTAATAATTACACAGAATAATAAGGCTGCGTCTGGGATACCAGTCGGCTTGGCATTGTGTGGAAGTTGGGAAGAAGGTAGGCCGGTGGGTCCGGGGACTTAACCCGTCTCTATCCGCTGACAAATTGAGACGATGCAATCAGCAGGAATTTGGATTCACCTCGCTATTCCGATCATGCAAACAAAGAAACTAAACACTTTTGCACAGTTTGGTTTGCATTGGAGGAACCAAACTCTGCTTATGTTTTGTTCGTGTTTGGCATAGTCATGTGAAAGATGCAAACAAAATTGTAATTTGGTTACGCTTTGAACTTAAATTTGAGTTTGAGTTTGAGATTTTTTTTTTTTTTTTTTTTGGGGGGGGGGGGGGGTTGTACTCATATGATAGAGATTGAGATGGAGTCGAGTCTTAGACAAATCTTGTCAATGTTTCATCTGACTTGATGGTAATCAAATGATTTGATTCATTCATTCTTTCTTTTGTTTGCTTCTTTTTTACTTTGTGCACTTTCAATATAGATCTACATGTAGGCCTATAGAGTCTAGAATATGTTCTAACAGTTAGATCTAGATCTAGATCTAGACTCTAGACCTAGATCTATATATATATATATATTTTTTTTTTGGGGGGGGGTGGATGTCTTGTTTTAACTTGTATGTCTTTTGTTGTTTCTTAATCTGTTGTCTAAAAGAAAAATATGTGATATAGATCTAAATCATTTGATTTTTGTTGGTGCCAACCTTCTACCAACCTACTACCAACTGAATTGTTAACGTTCATAGTCTACATCATCTAGAATTTACATCATTTTTCCTTCATTTTGTTGTTTGTTTTGTTGTTGTTATTTTTGTTTTCTTTTTTCTTCTCTTTTTTAATTAAATATTGGTATACCCTTGATACGGCCTATATTGGCAAATAGACTTATGAAGAGCTACCAAGACTTGATTTATGGGGCGAGTACACAATCATTCCACAGTAGCAGCATTTTGGGTTTCTGAAATGGTATGCAAATTGGACTTGCAGAGAGCTAGACTTTCTTTTTAATTTTTTTTACAAATAATTCCCTCCTTGAAAAGCATTTAAAAATCAAATAAATATCATTTCCTGGAATTTTGCTAGGATATATGAGAGCAATGTAAAGGGAGCTAATCTTCATTTTACTTCTGTCATCATTGATATGAATACAATCATTTGTCAGTTCTCAAAATTTATTGCTTGTCAATAGAGTACCGAAGCTGTGACGTCATAAAAATCAATTTTTAGAATTTCTCAATTTTTTCTTCATTTTCCGAAAGAGCATCAAAATAATGTCCAAATGTCGAAAATCAATTGAATATGTTAAGCATTGGCTGAGATATGACCATCTGAATACCCGTAAATATATGTCCTATGGGAACTCGGTGTTATATGCTCTGGCTCCTAATGGTTAGGAGCCAGAGCATATAACACTGAGCTCCTATGGGGAGTATATTTATTCAGATGGTCATATCTCAGACAATACTTAGCATATTCAATTGGTTTTCGGCATTTGGTTATTATTTTCAATGCTCTTTCGGAAAATGAAGAAAAAATAGAGAAATTCTAAGATTAGATTTTTGATGACGTCACACTTCACCACTCTATAGGAAATTCCAAGAGATTGCCACAGGCAAGGCGGGATGTGTGCCGGCAGAGGACCTGGGGTTCGTCACCATCCACTACTTTGCTGGTCGAGGTCGAGCGGAGGCCATTCGACTTCTGCTGGAGCAAGCCAATGTTCCTTACAACCAGACAGACTTTAGCCGGGAAACTTGGCCTGAAGCCAAGAAAGCAGGAGTAGAGAAAGGCCTTTACACCTATGGACAAGGTGATACTCGTCCCCTCCCCTTCCCCCTTCCCCCTTTTACAAGTTCCTCTACCGACCCACTCCCATGGAGCATTTATGTATTAATGGGAGGAAAGCATTTGACAATTAACATAATCATATTTAATTAGAGTACTTGAAAGAACAAATGCAGAGGAAATGCTTACATTATAATTTTTTTTATATTTTGGAAGGTTACTTTAAAAGGAAAAAGATTGTGGATTACATTTTAAAAGCTGGAATAATATCGTTCACCATACTCTTAATTGTGAGAGGTTCTGCTATACCATTAAGCCTAACATTGAAACCCAGCATCGTCTTAATACATGTGTAACTTCATTTTGTTACATTTGTATCAAAGATAATCAAACTACTTTTTGCTATGCTTTATGGTAAATCATACAGCCCCATATACGTATATGTGCTTCCATACAATATTATTTCCCTTTTTCCCTTCATATCCAGTGCCAGCCATTGTGACATCATCAGGTGTGTCTATGGTCCAGCAGCAAGCCATCCTTCATTACCTTGGAAGGGCTACAGGGATGGATTGTGACTGTGAAGATATGCATCACTGTGAGGTACTGGCTCTTGGCGTTGGTGAGTTGATTCTTGAAGCGTTTGCTTGTAGAGAAAGGGTAAATTCATTATGGCCAGTGGCTTCCCTGACACGGTGAAAAACTTGGTGGATTCTATATGTAGAAACATCATCATCCAAAACAGGTAAATTAATAGATTACCAGGGGTTCTGGGAACTAGGGGATATACATGTATAACAGAAAACCTTTCTGTTATATGAAATCTTGAACAGGTTAAAAACTATATTTGAAAGATATTTTTTGTATAATTAGGGTAATAATGTAATGCACATTATCATATTGCATCATATGTCTAAAACTATCTAAGGTACTTGAGCCACATTACACGAGCTTTAGCCTGGCTGTCTTGTTAAGGTCCCAGAGCATTGAAGCACAACAACTTCAAACATTTCAAAGAGGCATTTAAAAGTGTAAATAACCTTAAAGGTAAAGACCAGTATTGGAAACGCCCCAATTTCAAAAAATGAAATGGAAGCTTTTATTACCAATCATGTGAAAGAATATGTTTTGACTAATACATGATGATAAAAAAATTGCCAGGACACCGCCTACTAATTGATATATTTGGTAAATTAGTTTTATCTATTGGTGTGTAAGAGACATAACGCACGTGTCGCGCATGTGTGAGTAGTCCCATATACATCTTTCTGTGTACAGTGCTCGTAACTTTACGAAGGCTGGGCCAAATTTCTTATCATTTTGATGATTCCAGAACCTTGCAGTACACACCAATACTTATATGCTAGATGATCAACCTTTTCTGATCGATTCCACAACGTTTCTTTCACAATGCAATCGCATGACCATAACTGGTCTTTATCTTTAAACTGTACCTTGTATTTTTATTTGAAATGTTGTATTTTGATTTTATATCAAGTTAATTACTCTTTTTCTTTTGTAATTTTAGAGGATGCTAGGAGCAAGCTCTCCAAGCTCGTCTATGACCCGTCTTTCTCCGTAGCCATGAGGGATGAATACCTGAAAGAGATTGCTCCTCTCTGGCTGGGATATTTTGAGAAAATAGCGCCCTCTATATCTTCGCAGGTTAGTCACTTCTTCAGTCTACCATAAATATGGATATCTTAGAATTCTATGTGTTGTGAGTACATGTGTGTTTAAACTTGTCAATATGGATTAAAACTTACTCATAATCTTCTAATTTAAGTAACCAATTGATTATATAATAAAGTTCAAAAATTATTTGTGTGACAAATCATTTTGTGTAGTAATACTGCCTCCTTGATGTAGCATTCATTCTTTTATTTTCTTGTTGATTTAGCTGCCGTTTCATAAAGGCGTTTTTTTAGATAATATTACACAGAAACGAGCAGTTTCATCACCATAGCTTACAATTAACGTGAATAACTATTTTTGTCTTTTGTATTTCAGCAAAGAGGATATTTTGTATCTCATCGTTTGACCTGGGTTGACTTCCTCATCTTTGACCTCCTCGACACCAACATCGAATTCGACAAGCTTGATATGGGGCGCCCTCCTGTGGCCATCCTTGCCCAGTTCCCGAAGCTCAACTCGTACTACAATCGCATGAAGGCTTTACCCAGCATCGCCAATTATCAGAGTAGTCCTCAGAGGCCACCTTTCAAGATACCATACATGCCAAAACCTGAATCCAATGCCAAGCAGATGTGAAGTTACGAGTGTTTTGTCTGAAATACAAAAATGTTGTACTATTCGTAGTAGCCTATGTTTAATTTATTTGTGATGAAAAGAGTAGGTATTAGACTGATAAAAAAATATGTTTAGAGTAACTATTAGTAGAGTATCTCAAGGCTAGTTTCTTGACAAAGGAATCTGGAGAGTATAAGATCTATTATTGCTTTCACTGCAGTAGTTATTTAAAGTTGTTTCTTATCTCAAAGACACTGAATTATTTAAATCCATACAAATGGATCAGTTTCGCAGTAGTCATTTCTCAGGCTTTCACTTTTAATTGTGGCTATGTTAGATGTGGCACAACTCTAGTATTGGGTAACATAATATATCATTCTTAGTTCAGGGGGGCATTTCACAAAGTCTATTTTCAATGACAAATGACAAAAATCAGTGACAAATCTGCTGATAATCAATAAGAAGCAAGGATTTCAGTAGCTTATAACAAAAACTGTCATTTGTCACTGATGACAAGTTTTGTGAAATGCCCCCCTGGATGTGTGATACATTGTTTATGTGATAGCACTTTGTCGTTTTGTGTGTCGGCATAGTCGTACACAGTACTGAATAGTCAATCATGTTAATTGGGAATACTCAGCTTCAAGTACAATTTACTGTGGGAGAGAAGATGGCTGATTCACAAGATATGTTGTGATATAGAGGTTCATTCACTTCACTCTCGATCCAAGGGTTGAGGGTTCAAATCCCAGCCCATCACTCACATCTTTTTGTAGGACATTTATCCACATTTGCCCCTCTCCACCCTAGCAGTTGCAGGGCCCTCTGGGGGAAGAACATTAGTGCTGATGAGGCTTCCCTGAATAAACAAATTATTATGATTAGACACCGATTCCTGAATTCAATCATATAAATTGAATGTAAAATTACAGTTCTTACAAACATTAGTAGTAAATGCTAAATAAATTTTGTTATTATTGGTATGAAATTGAAGAGAATGTTGTGCCCTCCCCCAGATCTTTGATATTCCTTCTCTTTCATTTATGTTTTGAGGGGGGGGGGGAGGGTAAGGAACCCACGTAGCAAAGCTGCTGGAATAAGTACACATGTATATTATTAACATTCTGAAATTCATCTGAAATTCTGACTAGAAATTACTTCTAGCCTTGAATTTCATCTTGCAGTGTGTCATCTGAATAAAAAGTAGTGTCTAGAACTAGATCTATATTGACTACATATAATGTAGGCTCTGATTTTTATAGTTGTAGATATTGCCTTTATTTGACAATGCAAATTATGCAATACATGATCATGTGGATCAATTGATCTAATCTTTATTTACACTGCCATACCTAATAAATAGGGATTGAGTGGAGCTTACTCTGCAATTTGCAGAAACTGACTCCTGATAATATCCCGCCCCGCCCCCCCCCCCCCCACTCATGCATGTTCCCTCCCTTTTAAAGCACCCCCTAAGTCCGGTGTGTAAAGTCAATACGGGCCGATTTGTTGTGTATTACGTGCTAGACTTTGTTGCGTGAAAAGTACCCCTTTACTGGACATTTTGGGAACATGACTGCGGTCCCTCCGTTCCCGGAGGGGGGGGGGGGGGGGGGGGGGGGGGTGGGGGGGGGGGGGGGGGGGGGGGGGGGGGGGGAGTCGGGGATAATATCAATATAAATCAATTGTATTTTTATACACTTTCCAACCAAACCCCATTATAACCAAATCAACTTCATGTATAATGTGCTTAGCACTGATTAAATTGTGATTTTGTCTTAAAGTATTCTAGTATTGATAGAAAAGACTAGACAGCCTTTTATTTACAGATATTTTGATTATGTTTCTAGGCAAATTTCTTATAAATGCATTTTCTTGTTTAAAGCAGTGCCAAGTTGTAACCTTTGTAGCTCTATAAGGCCTAATATTGTTTAATTTTTGATGTAAAACAAGTCTTTCATTAAAATTGAGGAACTCTGTTCTTCCTTTCTTCCTTTGCCTTAAGGTACATGTAGCTTAGCAAATGAGGTGGCACGAAATGAGGCATCCGGAACGCAAACTTCATAATCGTTGAAAATCATAATTTCATCAAACAGTGATGGAAGCACATTGTATTAAAAGGATAAGGAGCTGGTAAATGCATATACCACCTCGATGTTAACTAAACTTTCATTCAGATATGTCAAAAAAATAACCTTAAATTATTGACAAACATCACTAATTATTCTGCGTGTATTTTGCATTTCAGAAGCATATTTTCGTTGCCTGTACATTTTGCCAAGCCCCCCATTAATGTTTCTTGAAACTACCTAGAGAGTTGTTGAGTTTTCAGCGATGGAATCAAATTATGTCAACAATCATTTTATGGTTGAATTATGCTAAATTTTATTTCAATTAATCATTGTTCTGTGATTGTTCTTTTGTCTATGTAATTTATGATCAAATAAAATAACTTAATGAAATTTCCAGAAACTTTGTCTCCCATCTTTTACAAGTGTTTTCAGATAAAGATTAATGTTAAGTAACTATTAGCATAGGCATACTGGCACATTTTGTGAGGTGATCTAAGTTAACGCCAAAATAGCAACTTTCCAGTTTCTTTTGAGCGAGCAGTACAAGTACATTGTTTTGTATTGTATGTTTTCCAATTGCTTTGAAAAGATGATGATCCAGAGCGGGCAATTAAGTGCTGTGTACTTTCCCAGACTCGGTATGTTCTTTTTAATAAAAAAAAAAACAGATAATTAATTAGCGTTTAAAACTATTTTCTTTTCTTCTCTTCCCTCTCCACGGCTCTCTGTCTGTCTGTCTGTCTTTCTCTCTCTCTCTCTCTCTCTCTCTCTCTCTCTCTCTCACTTTATCTATATATCTAACTATCTATCCATGCATCTATCTATAATCTACAATAAGTATATATCTCCCTCTTTTCTTTTATTCTGTATTTTTTCGCGTGACTTCCAATAAACGCAGATGGCGCTTTAAAGAATTGCGTGTCCATTTCGGTAGCCTACGAAGGTACAGGTACAAGGCTAGTCCAGCCTCTGTACCGTTTTCGTTTAGCGCACCCAATCAGCTGATAAAATAACACACCCTCAACGTTGAAAGTAGACCTAGCCGTTCGTGTGGACGGAAATTTGGGGATTGCGCGATCAGTGGAGAGACCGCGCTGTGTGTGGGGGATAAAAAGAACGAACGGACTGAATCTGGACTAGTACAAGGCTGGCGAGGCTGCCGGCCTGTGACCGCACCGTTTGTCCTACCAGTTTCGTTTGTCCGTCGGACATAACATGCGGGTTTTCTGCTCGCATCGATCGTCCGTGACTCGCACGGATCGTCCGAGGCAGGCGCGGATCCAGGATTTCTTAGGGGGGGGGGGGGCCCAAATTTGAAATAATGCGAGCCAAATATTGGTACGTTATGGTGACCAACAGTGACCTAATGCGGGGGGGGGGGCGAGTTTCCCCCTCCCAGGCTTTGACGTTTCATTATATTATTAGAGAAAGAAGACGATTCGTTGTACTGTACGTTTCGAAAATAATTCTCGTCTGAATTGAGTTTTTTCTCCTCCCGCGCAAAGCGCGGAAAATTTTACGATTTATTAAATTATTAGAGAAAGAAGACGATTCGTTGTACAGTTCTCGACTCTTAATCCTTGTCTAAATTCAGTCCCCCCCCCCTCCCCCTCCTGCGCGAAGCGCGGAAGCTTTGACGTTTTATTAAACTATTAAAGGAAGAAGACGATTCGTGGTACCTTTATCCTCGTCTGATTTCAGTTCCCCCCCCCCTTCCCGTGCGAAGCGCGGAAGCTTTTACGTTTCATTAAATCATTAGAGAAAGAAGACGATTCGTTGTACCGTTCTCGACTCTTAATCCTCGTCAGAATTATGCCCCCCCCCCCCTCCCGCGCGAAGCGCGGAAGCTTTTACATTTCAATAAATTATTAGAGAAAGAAGACGATTCGTTGTACAGTTCTCGACTCTTAATCCTTGTCTAAAATCAGTCCCTCCCCCTCCACTCCTGCGCGAAGCACGGAAGCTTTGACGTTTTATTAAACTATTAAAGAAAGAAAACGATTCGTTGTACCGTTCTCGACCCTTTGTCCTCGTCTGATTTCAGTCCCCCCCCCCCCCCTCCCGCGCGAAGCGCGAAAGCTTTTACATTTCATTAAATCATTAGAGAAAGAAGACGATTCGTTGTACCGTTCTCGACTCTTAATCCTCGTCAGAATTATGCCCCCCCCCCCCCCTCCCGCGCGAAGCGCGGAAGCTTTTACATTTCAATAAATTATTAGAGAAAGAAGACGATTCGTTGTACAGTTCTCAACTCTTAATCCTTGTCTAAAATCAGTCCCTCCCCCTCCCCCTCCTGCGCGAAGCGCGGAAGCTTCTACGTTTCATTAAATCATTAGAGAAAGAAGACGATTCGTTTTACAGTTCTCGACTCTTAATCCTCGTCTGAATTCAGTTTTCCCCCTCCCGCGCGAGGCGCGGAAGCTTTTAATCTTCATTTAATCATTAGAGAAGAAGACGATTCGTTGTACAGTTCTCGACTCTTAATCCTTGTCTAAATTCAGTTCCTCCCCTCCCCCCTGCGCGAAGCGCGGAAGCTTCTACGTTTCATTAAATCATTAGAGAAAGAAGACGATTCATTGTACAGTTCTCGACTCTTAATCCTCGTCTGATTTCAGTTCCCCCCCCCCCCTTCCCGTGCGAAGCGCGGAAGCTTTTACGTTTCATTAAATCATTAGAGAAAGAAGACGATTCGTTGTACCGTTCTCGACTCTTAATCCTCGTCTGAATTCAGGTTCCCCCCTCCCGCGCGAGGCGCGGAAGCTTTTAATCTTCATTTAATCATTAGAGAAGAAGACGATTCGTTGTACAGTACTCGACTCTTAATCCTTGTCTAAATTCAGTTCCTCCCCCTCCCCCTCCTGCGCCGCGCGAAGCGCTGAAGCTTCTACGTTTCATTAAATCATTAGAGAAAGAAGTCGATTTGTTGTACAGTTCTCGACTCTTAATCCTCGTCTGCATTCAGGTTCCCCCCTCCCGCGCAAAGCGCGGAAGCTTTTAATCTTCATTTAATCATTAGAGAAGAAGACGATACATTGTACCGTTCTCGAAAATAATCCTCATCGGAATTTAGTTCCCCACCATCCCGCGCGAAGCGCATAAGCTTTTACGTTTCATTAAATAATTAAAGATTCGTATTACCGATCTCGCCTCTGAATCCTCGTCTCAATTCAGTCCCCCCCCCCTTCTCCCCTCCTGCGCGAGGCTTTGAGGCTTATTGTTAGAGAAAGAAAACGATGCGTTGTACCGTTCTCTATACTCTTAATCCTTGTCTGAATTTCAAAGAGGTGGGGTCGAGGCGGCGGAGGTCAGATGAGCATATTTTTTTGTATACCTTATTATTTTGTGACACTGGCAAGTCACTATTTGGCGTGGGGTCCAGGGGGCGGAGCCCCAAAGAATCAGGGGTTTTAGGCATTAAATTACCGTCAGATGATCATCTAAGGGCCCGCCGTAGGCCCTAGATGGAATCCAGGGGGCAAAGCCCCCGAAGCTTAGGGGTTTTAGGCATTTAATCACGGTCAGATGAGCATATTTTGATGCCTCGAGGCTCTCGATCCCCGCCGTTCCTCGGGCCCTGACATGTAGGAATCTCAAGAATCATATTTTTTGCCTGGTTGTAAATTTAGGAATTTTTTTATTTTCCAAAACACATACAAACGTATATTTACTAAAAAGTGAGGAAAAATTTCGGAAATAATGTCATTTCAGCATTATTTGTAATACACCGTTGTGGAATCAGAAATAAACCACGTTTGAATTTGATTTCCCCCAAGCCCCCCCCCCCCTTTATCAGTACGCCAGTATCTCATCTTTTCCCTTTTTTTTCTTTCCCTTTCCTTCCTTCTCTCTTATTTTTTTTTTGATTGGTTAACAGCCTGGGAGGCAAGGCCCTTTCGCCCCCCCCCCCCCCCCCGATCTCCTTCTTCCCCCTTTACTTTTCTTCTTCCTCTTCTTTCTTTCCCTTTTTCTCTTTTTTCCCTTTCTCCCTTCTTTTCCTTCTTCTCTCTT